CTTCTCTGGGTCCTGGGAGCGTGGGGACACGTGACTGGACACACAGGCAGGGGCATGTGCATGCATCTTGGTGACCAAGGCCAGAGGAGGCAGGCTCAGACAGTCAGGCGAGTGGCTTGTGATGTGGTCAAAATCCCACCTGTCCTCTGTGTGGCTGGAAGACTCCAGACACTGGCCGCCTCTGATATGATGGCCGCCCAGACCCCTTCCTCTTTGAGACGTTCCCCCCGCTACAGTATACACACCAGCTTCCTCTCCCCCATCACATCCTCCCCATGCTTTGGGGGAATTGAGGGCCACTCCGTGTCTTGTCCAGGCCAGCCCAGGCGCCGGGCACCCAGCAGCCCCCCTCCACCTGCTCCCAGCCATGCAGCACCCCCTCCTCCACCCATGGTTCCAGTGCCCTCCCGCTCCATGGCGGGAGCCGGGTCCGGGACTCAGAACCCGCCGGTGATCAGAGCATTGAGTAGGAAGGCTCACCAGGACGCATAAAAATACCCTGACCTGAGACACCCCCACTCCACCCCACCCCACCCTATCTCAGGCAGCACTTCCGCAGCCCCGACAGGAAATGGGCTGGAGGCTCAGCTTCCCTCCATCTCAGAGCAACTTCTTGTTTCCCCCTTGCCCTGTGCCAACCCTGGGGTTGTGCCCCCTTGGCTCCACCCCTGAAACCTTCCCAGGGCTCTGTCCCAGCATCTCCGAGAGCACAGGATGGTGGACATGATTGCCAAGCTGACCAAGAGGCGGAGTCGGGCCCTGCGGGTACAGGTAGGGGACCCTGGCATTTTGGGGCAAGCTCAGCCTCTGATGGGGATGGCTGAGGGCCTCCGCATCAAGGGGCCCCGGGAGCGCCTCCGTCCTCCGGCCTTCTCAGGAGGTGGGTGAGCTGGGTTTTGGAGCAGGACACCTCCCAGACTTGGGGGGCTCCTCCCTTCTTTCCTCTTTCCTTTTCCAAGGCCTTGCCTATCCGTGAGGGGCTGCAGAGGGACCCTGAGAGATGGTGGTCAGCTTGGGGGAAGAGAAGCAGGCCAGCCACCTGCTTGTGGGCCAGGGGCAGGAACTGGAGACAAAGGGAGTGCTGGGGGGCGGGGGGCGGGCAGCTGCGTGTGGTGAGAACCAGAGCCCCTCTTGGCTCTGTCCTCTGGCCTGAGGTGGGGGACCACTTCCCCTTTCCTACTGGAGGACCCCTTGTCACTGTTGTGTTTGTGGGTCTGGGCCTTAGGAGCTGCCGGTGCCCTCGTCAGGGCCCTGTTGCCAGGTTATGATGGGGTGTAGTCTGGGCCTCCATGAGTTGGGGGCCCGAGGTGGTAGGCCCTGCTCTAACCTTCAGCCTTCCCCTTGAAGGCCAGAGGGCCCAGAGGGACTGGCCCCACCTGGCTTCCAGTCTGATCCTGGCTCTGCCAGGAAAGCGCCTCTGTCTTAGCACTGTGGGGGCCCTACAGAGGGTTCTAGAGTTTGAAGGGCCCTCAGCGCGGCTGCAGTCTAGCTCCCTCCACAGGGCAGCAACCTCGCTAATAGGGGCTGGACTCTGCCGGCTCATCTCCAGTGGAGGCCCCTGACTGCCTCCTGAAGCAGCCTGTGTCTCTGGGGCAGCCCCAATCCTTAGAATGTGCCTGCTTCCAGGGGGCCCTGCCTGCCCCCTTTTGGCCTCTGATCTGCAGTCTGGATCCCCACGGTATGATCCTGTGTCTCCCCTTCCTTGTGACAGCCCTCCTATGCTGGGGGCCTAAGCCTCCACCTCCTAGGACTGCCCTGCCCCCTCCTAGGTATGGCCTGCCCCCGCTAGGGGTGTTCTTGGTGCAAGATCCCCTCAACCTGACTGGCCTGGGACTCCCCTTGCACTCCTAGCCAGGACCAGCAGGCTGCAGGCGGAAATCCCCGCTCCAAATAGCCCGTGTCCTTCCTTAGCTCATCTCCTCCCATGCCTCCATAGGACCTTCCAGCTCCTGTCGCAGGGATGGGAAGGCCGCTGCCTCAGTGGGTCCAGAGGGAGTGGGCAGGAGACATGTCTGGGCCACCCACCTTCCTTCCTCTGCCCACCACCTTCATGCCATCCTCCCAAGGAGTCTCCTAGCTCCCTCGCTGAACCCTTATTCCCAGGAAGCCCGTGTTCAAAGCGAATCCAGTCTCTCCTGAAGTGTCAGGGGTGTGTGTGTGTGTGTGTGTGTGTGTGTGTGTGTGTATGTTGCTTGTTGTTGAACTGTGTCCTGGCATTGGCTTGCGAACTAAGTCAGTAAATCCCTTTAGTGGATGGGCTGCATGCCTCAGGGCATTGGGGCACCTGCTAGAGGGCGACTGGGGTCAATTATGTCACCCTGGGTCTTGCTCTCAAAAAACCCCTGCCTTTGGGGTCAGAGGAGGTAGGCAGAGGGGCGGACGACGAATGGGCCCGCAGGGCAGAGCACTGCCAGCCCCTCGCAGGGGCACGAAGACAGTGACAGCGGGTTAGGCATCTCTCCTGAGGGAGAAGTCCTCTCCTGCCAGGAGGCTTGGAGCGGAGCCACAGCGAGGGCAGGTCATGAGAGTGGAGGGTTCCAGAACCCCTCTGGAACAAGGGTCCAGAGCTAGGAAGACGACTTTTGTGTTTGGGGGAGGGTCTGCAGGCTGGAATCTGGGATGCTCGGGAGGGCTGCAACAGGCCGAGCGAAAGGAAACGTGGCATGGAGGGTCCGGTCTCAACCACACAAGACCTTGTGTGGGGAGGGAGAAGAGTGAGAAACTGGGGTACCTGGCTCTTCCCACTCCCTCCATGCCTGGGACCTGTCCCTGGTGGTCTAGAATCCAACTTGTCTGAGAGTTGGTCTCCTTGCGAACAGTCTAGTTATCATGGATGTGCATGCATTTTGCTTATCACCTTGTTGGGCTCCCTGCCCCCTCCCCAACCATTCACACAGGCTGCCCAGTACGGTATTGGGGTCCCTTTGTTCACTGCTGCATTCCCAGTGCCTAGAATGGTGCCTGCACCAGGCGTGAATCTTTGTGGGACACATCAGTGTGTCTTGGGGCGCTTACCTAAAGACTCAATTCCCCTCTTGAGGAGCTTATAGCTTAGTGAAGGCATCATTAAGCAACAGAGGAACTTTTGTGATTAAAAACGGTGGCAGGGGGCGGTTATTATACACAGTTTTGAGAAAAAATTTAAAGAAAAATAATCTCTGTAATTACACCACCCAGAGATAACCTCTGTTAGCATTTTGGAAGGTTTCTAAAAATGCGTAATTGGAACTATAGCTGTTCACTGTGTTGAAATCTGCTTTTCCCTTATAGTGTTATATATTCTTAGAAACAGTATTGGGGCGCCTGGGTGGCTCTGTCAGTTAAGCCTCTGCCTTTGGCTCAGGTCATGGTCTCAGGGTCCTGGGATGGAGCCCTACATGGAACTCTGCTCAGCAGGGAGCCTGCTTCTCCCTCTTCTTCTGCCTGCCACGCCCCCTGCTTGTGCTCTCTCTCTGTCAAATAAATAAATAAATCTAAAAAAGAAAAAAAAAAAAGAAACAGTATTAATCTGGGGTGCCTGGGTGGCTCAGTCAGTTAAGTATCTGCCTTCTGCTCAGGTCATGATCTTGGGGTCCCAGTATCAAACCTCCCCAGTCCCCACCGCATTGCTCAGCAGGGAGTCTGTTTCTCCCTCTGCCCCTCACCCCACTGCTTCTCTCTCTCACTTGCTTCCTCTCTCAAATGAATAAAATCTTAAAAAAAAAAAAAAGAGACAGTATTAATCTTCTGCTGCTATGCTGCTGCCTGGGGTTTGATAGTATCGTTATCAATCCCTCTGGCAGCCCGAGGGTGCTGGGCTATGGTGGGCGCACCAGTGGAATCTCGAGAAAGGTCTTGAACCTGACACCCTAGCTGAGTCCTAAAGAAGGACTTGGAGTTGGCCGGGTGAGAAAGGGGTGGGGTGAGCCTAAGTGGACTGTGCTTGGGCTCAGCCCAGAGGGTGGGGCCTCCAGCAACTCCCTGCTACCAGAGCTTAAAGTTCAAGGCAAGGGGCCAGGAATGGCTGGAAATAAGGTGGAGGACAGGCAAGTGACAGACGCCTCTGGTGCCCTGTGAAGGCGCAGACTTTGCTCAGTGGCGGCGAGGAGCAACGACGTGCTGAGCATGATCAGACTCATGTTCTGTGTGACTAAACCCTCCAGCTCACCTGGCTTTCCTTTGGAGGGCAAGAGGGGCTCATCTCTCCTTGCCCCTCCTTCCTTCTTCCCATCCGACTCTCCTCCCCCTTTCCCTTCTCTGCCGTTGATTCTGAGCCCTGCAAAACCCACATTCAGGACATTTCAGTCCCAGATCCAGAGGTAGTACTGATTCCAGTCCCAGAGCTTTCAGGGCCAGGAAGGAAGGAGGTGGGGGTGGGGGTGGGGAATGGAGAGTGTGGTGGGGGGGCTGCCCCCATGTGACCTGAGTGGAGGAGGAAAAGGAAGGGGGCCCAGGCCGTTTCTCTATTCCTGTCCAGCCTCTGATTCACCCCTTGGAGGCAGAGTAAGTACACAGCTGGGAGAACTCAGTTATCCATGACTGATTGTTGTTGTTGTTGTTGTTTTTAAGATTTTATTCATTTATTTGACAGATAGGAAGATCACAAGTAGGCAGAGAGGCAGGCAGAGAGAGAGGGAGAAGCAGGTTCCCTGCTGAGCAAAGAGCCTGATGTGGGGCTCAGTCCCAGGGCGCTGAGATTATTACCTGAACCAAACGCAGAGGCTTAACCCACTGAGCCACCCAGGCGCCCTAATATCTGATTATTGTCAGTAAACACTTAATGTAACTGCCCTACGCATGTGGGACATTTCATACTTTGCAATGCACTCAAGAATATTTCCTCATTCTCTCTTCACTACAGTTTCCGGAGTGGGCAGGGCAGACGTTGTGCAGCTGGTGGAACTGAAGCAAGGGGTGCTCTAACTTGCCAAAGGTCACCCAGATGGCAAGTGGCCGAGTCGGGACTGTGTGACCCCGGAGCTGCCTGCCCGGAAGGTCACGTTTCCTTTCTCCTCCCACAGGTGGACGACCCCCCGGAGCCCGTGTACGAGAACGTAGAGAGGCAGCCTTCCGTGTCTTCGCCGGGTGCCACCGCGGGCCCCCGCCCCCCGGCGTGGGAGACGCACACGGACGCAGGCAGCGGGCGCCCCTACTACTACAACCCAGACACGGGCGTGACCACCTGGGAGTCGCCCTTCGAGGCTGCCGAGGGCATCTCCAGCCCGGCCACCTCCCCCGCCTCGGTGGGCAGCCGCGAGAGCCTCGAGACCGACTGGGGTCAGTACTGGGATGAGGAGAGCCGCAGGGTGTTCTTCTACAACCCGCTGACGGGCGAGACCGTCTGGGAGGACGAGACCGAGGACGAGCCAGAGGACGAGCTGGAGATGCAGCAGGGCCTGAGCCCGCTCAGCCCCAGGGACCAGAGGGTGAGGGGGCGGGGCCTGGCCCGGGTGGGCGGGGTGGCTCTGAGGCCTCAGACCCCGCCTCCTGCTCTCCCACTGCTCTGGGGGGCGTGGTCTGGTCTAAAAGGGCGGGGCCAAGGGTGCGTACTGGCTCGGAGACCCTCCGACTGGGTCTTTGCTCCCTGCAGCCCCCTACCCCTGAGACGGATTACCCCGAGTCGCTGACCAGTTACCCGGAGGAGGACTATTCCCCCGTGGGCTCGTTCAGTGAGCCCCGGTCTGCCTCTCCTTTGGCCACGCCCGCCGGTTGGTCTCTCCGAGTGAACCCCGACGGGCAGACGCTCTACACCAACAACTTCACCCAGGAGCAGGTACGTGCAGCGGGCAGATATGGCCAGACAGCCCCCCGGTCATTCTTCCAGCTCTTCTAGTAGCTCACCTTAACACCGTCAACTGCAGCTCCTGGGCGGGCTCCAAGTCACCCCATCGCCCGCACCTGACCCTCCCAACTCCTTGGGGCTATATCGGGTTCTGGTGCAAGAGGAGCTTTGCCTGCCCTCCCACGAGGCAGGCTGGGAGGCCTGACCACCCCTCTCCCCGCAGTGGGTGAGGTTGGAAGACCAATACGGAAAGCCCTACTTCTACAACCCACATGACGCCTCCGTTCAGTGGGAGCTGCCCCAGGTAACCAACTGGGAGTGGGAGAGTCTTGGGAAGAGGGGAAGGGACTGTGTATGATGGTGTCTTTCTCCTCAGGTTCCAGTCCCTGCCCCTCGAAGCATCCACAAATCCAGCCAGGACAGTGAGACCCCAGCCCAGGCCAGCCCCCCTGAGGAGAAGGTGAGGGTAGAAGCATGTAGGCCCTGGCAGGACCCCCAGAGAAGAAATAGGAGCTTCCTGAAGGTTGTGGGGGCTGGGCCGGGGCCAGGTATGTCTCCCCACAGGCCCCAGCAAGAGGCTGGGCTGAATGAACGTGAGTCTGGGTCATCCCTGGCTCACGGCTGGATGAGGTTGGGAGCTGAGAGGAGATCTCTCCTGCTGGGGTGAGAGCAGGCACCCCGCCAGCACCAGCAGCAAAGAGGGTTCAGCGGTGACTCAGGCCCAGCCTGTAAGGAGTTGCTGGTTGTGGAGACTAGCCTCTGCCCCCCTGTGGCCACCCCGTTAACTGCCTCTTCTTTCCCCTCGTCTTTCTCAGACCAAGACTCTGGACAAGGCCGGGGTGCTCCATCGCACCAAGACTGTGGACAAGGGAAAGCGGCTCCGGTGAGCGCCTGGCGGCACCCAGACCAGGGCAGGGTGGGCCTTAAGGATGAGGTTCACTGAGCATGTCTTGTGTGCCAGACTCTTGTTAATCCTCAGAGCAGCTTTCTAAAAGGTCCCATGAAGACCCTGAGGCCTCTAGAGATAGGGACTTGTCCAGGGTCTCTTGGCTACCAAGCGTGAGAACTGGGAGTCCAGTCCTCACCGTCGGATGCCCCAAGCTGAGCTCTGTTTTCAGCTCTGTGCCCTGCACCTGGGGGCGTATGGGGGCCTCAGTCCAGGGCCAGTGCAAGCCCAGTCACCCCCCACTTCCCCACCCCCACCTAGGAAGAAGCACTGGAGTGCGTCCTGGACGGTGCTGGAGGGCGGCGTCCTGACATTCTTCAAGGACTCAAAGGCCTCAGCTGCAGGCGGCCTGGTGAGGCCCAGGGTCCCAGGACAGGGACCCCCCCACCCCCAGCAATCTGCTCCTGACTTCTGCGGCTCTTTACGTGATCTGGCTTGTCAATGGCTAGGTCTGCAGCAGTGGACCATGAATGCCAGGGTAGCTGGGCCTTGGCAGGGGGTGACGACAGCAGATTCAGACTGTGACAAGCACTTCCAGGCACCCTGGACATGGGGAGCAGTCCTTGAGGGTGGCCACTCCAGTCTGATGGGCATGCAAATAGGGTCTGGGCCACGCCTGCTCTCGGAGATGAGGGCTGTGCCCCTTTCTCCTTTCCTGTCCTGGGTGGGCAGGCAGCAGGCCCAGGACCCCTGGGCCCCCCTTCCCCATCCTATCCCTGGAGCCAAGGGAGCCTGATGGATTGGAGCCCGGAGCCATGGCAGGCCTGTCTGGGCTGAGGGCTCCCTGTAACTGTGCTCCCCCCAACCCTTCTCCCCTCTCCCACAGAGGCAGCCTCCCAAGCTCTCCACCCCTGAGTACACAGTGGATCTCAGGGGGGCCTCCCTCTCCTGGGCCCCCAAGGACAAATCTAGCAGAAAGAACGTGTTGGAGGTGAGTGGTGGGGGTTGGGAGAAGGCGAGGGGGCTTACTGATGGCTTGAGACCCTCAGTAGGCAAGCCCCAAGAAGGGGGACCTGGGAAGAGTGGGACTGGAATTCTCAGGGCTCAAAGCCAAAGTTGTATCCACCTTGGGGATCTGTCCACAGTGTTTCTGACACCACAGATTCTGCAGTTCCCTCTCCAGGAACTGAGTTTATAGTCCTGGAGGGTGGTGAGGAGTAGGGAGCCTCGGGGGAATGAAATCCATGCCTGGAAGGACAGCCCTCTTCCCAGACAGGAGACTCCCTCTCCCCAGCTACTCACTTTGACAGGTTGGAAACCAGCTCCCGCCATTCAGAGACAAGCTTCCAACTGAACTGGGTCCTCAGTGAATTAACTGGGCCCCAAGTTTCCCAGGCTCCCCTAGCAGGAGGACTGGGCCCCGGTAGGACCCAAGCAAGGACCCTCATGGTGCCACACCCTCCACTGTCTACGTGTTGTCTTGCTTTTCAACTACCTTTGTCGTCACCTCTGTCCCCAGAAGTTCTGAGGAAGGTCACAACAAGAATAGCAACAACCAACCAAACAAACAAACAAAAACAAATAAAAACCACATGGGGAGCTGATCAAATCCACTGAAAAGCCAGGAGCAGGCACAAGTTAGAGCAAGGGGCATCAGGGGGCCGATGATGTACAGGGGAGAGGTTATTGCTGAAAAAAATGAGGTCAGGTTTCCTGGTAGCCAAAGTGAAAAGAGAAGGAGAATCAGTGACGTGGTTCCTCTTTTGGCGGGGGGAGCTTTCCCAAATTTTGAGTGAGATCAAAGCTTTTTCCCAACCCTTAGCTCTTGAAGCCATTTTTAGTGTCTGGCTCCAGGGTGGGTTAGTAAGAGACCCTCGGGGCTGCTTCAGGTAACGTGATAAAAGCAAAAAGCACAACGTCACAAATCAGCTCAGAAAAAGCAATTCTGCCGGGAGCTTGAGAGTGTAGCTTTCTGAAGATTCCCCAAGCTTCCTCCAGCACATCCACAGAGCAGGGCTGGAAAGCCAGTTTGATCTCCTGAGCTGCCCTGGTCGGTGGGTCTGGAGCCTTCCTCCAGGCTCGGCAGGGCCGAGGGCGGTGATCGGTTAGTGATGTCTGTCATGGGTGTCCGACTGAAGAAGGCCATCACTTTCGCTAGGCAGGTTCCGTCCCTGACCTAGAGGAACATCCTTCAGCCCATGCTCTATGTCACCTCTCTATCTTGCCTTTGGAGAACACTGCTGAGTAAATGCTTCCGAGTTGTATTTTCTGGCAAGGACTAGAAGGCAGATGGGGCTCTTGGAAGCTACTCAAGCTGTCGGGAAGGCTGACAGTCTTGAATGGAAATGGAGGAGCCCTCTGCTTCCTGGCTGGCAGGCAGCCATCCTCCCTCCACTCAGGGGGTGGCCTGCAGGCACCTCTAGGATTTTTCTCGAGAGACAGCCCCACATTCTAGATCGTGGCCAGGTTAGTGGGGCCTGGCAGATTTTCACAGCGGGTCTCCCTCATCACTCCAGAACCACAGAAAACTTTGGGAGTGATAGACCTCCCAAAACAGCTGGTCTGGGGCAGCTCAGCTCACCTGGGCGTCCAGCAGGATGAATGTTTTGGGAGATGTATTGCTGGGTAACTGTATAGCTTTTCTTTCTGTATGAACCTTCCAGAGAGGAGCTGGTTATGTTTTGAGAGGGCCTCGGTTTGCCCATCTGTAACAGATAGGCTATCACTGCTTTTAACAAGACGGAATGCCTGGGCCTGGGGTAAAGCCCTTGTTCTATGGTGCTCTTAGTTCCTGGGGCCAAGGACAGATCATCTCCACCACTTCTGTATCTCCCTTCCCTGCACTGCCTACTCCTGAGGCCTGGCCCCAGGGCCGACCCAGGGAGCCAGAGATGACTGAGAACTCGTGTGTCTCTCCAGCTGCGGAGCCGAGATGGCTCAGAGTACCTGATCCAGCATGACTCCGAGGCCATCATCAGCACCTGGCACAAGGCCATTGGCGAGGGCATCCAGGAGCTGGTGAGCAGAGCCTGGGGCCTCCAGGGCTGGTGGGGATGGGATGGACAGCCATGAGGATCTCTCCAGGCCAGGTGGGGGGCACATCCTAGCGGAATGTTCCATTTCAAGGGAGGCAGGAAGAAAAGGAAATATCGGAGAAAGAGCCTCAGGCTGGAATGACAGGCTAAAATCAGAAGGGAAAACTTCAAAGGATTAAATTGAAGAGTCTATAGTTTTCTAGTTCAAACTATTCCCTGCATAAATGCAGATGGGACAGGCCCCCTCTGACGGCTCTTCTCCAGGAAACAACCTGGGGCTTTTTGACCCTCAATTCCTTAGGAGCCAACACTGAGTACAGAGTTTGGCTGTATTTCTAGAGGTAGGAATCCAATGCAGTTGTTGGCAGTGCTGAGGCCTCAGCCGGAACTGTAAATCCGGAACTAGGAGCCCCGTACTGAGGAATGCTGACCTCGTGGACTGTGTGCAGAGGAACTAGGAAAATGTGGGCAAGGGGGGCCAGGATAAGAAAGAGTGGGGCAGGGCAGGGTGGCTGTCTCCAACACCCGAAGGTCTCCAGGCAGTCAAGGGAGGTGAACGTTCTGAGGTTCCCTGGTGGACGACAGGGGAGTGAACTGGAGAAGGAAGTGTGAACTCTGGCCTGGCTGGGAGGGAGCAGGCCGGCTGGGAGGGCACTCCGGGCCCCTCACCCCATCCCAGAAGGCCCTCCGGCTGGCCCCAGGCCTTGCCTCTCTGAGGCCGCGTGATTGCAGTCTGCAGACCTGCCCCCGGAGGAGGAAAGCGAGAGCAGCAGCGCGGACTTCGGGTCCAGCGAGCGCCTGGGAAGCTTGCGGGAGGAGGAGGCGCGGCCGGGTGCAGGTGCGCGCGAGGGTGAGGGGTGGGGTGGGGGGTGGGGTGAGGGAGTGAGGAAGGTGGGGGGGTGGGGAAGGTGGGTGGAGGGCGTCTCCAGCCCCGCGCCGGGGTGCGGGTTACACCCTGGGGCTGGGGCCAGCCTGGCCAATCCCGGCGCCACCGAGTGACTCGGCCCCGCATTCCTGGGCCCAGGCGCAGTCATCCCGGAGAGCGACCTCAGCAGGGTCCGGCAGAGGCTCCGCAAGTTCCTACTAAAGCGGCCGACGCTGCAGTCGCTGCGGGAGAAGGGCTACATCAAAGGTACCTGGGGAAGCCGGAGCGCGCGGCGCGGGGGACCCCGGGGCCGGGCGGCGCTCACGAGCCTCTCCCCCAGACCAGGTGTTCGGTTGCGCGCTGGCCGCGCTGTGCGAGCGCGAAAGGAGCTCCGTGCCGCGCTTCGTGCAACAGTGCATCCGCACCGTCGAGGCCCGGGGTATGCGCGGCGCCTGAAGGCCTCCGTCCCGGACCCCATGACGGAGACCCCTGGGGAGGGCGGGGCGGGGGAATGGGGGTAAGCCTCTGAGTGGGAATCCGATCGGGAGCTTCAGCCCCGTCCCCTCCAAGCCCGAGGTCAGCGCCCCCCTCTGCCCCAGGGCTGGACATCGACGGCCTGTACCGCATCAGTGGAAACCTGGCCACCATCCAGAAGCTTCGCTACAAGGTGGACCACGGTGAGGCCCCGCCCCTCACCCTGGGGCCTGAAGACACCAAGGGGTGCTGAGGCCCTCTTCCGACTCCTTACCCATCTGCTTGCCGCAGATGAGCGCCTGGACCTGGACGACGGGCGCTGGGAGGACGTCCACGTGATCACCGGAGCCCTGAAACTCTTCTTTCGAGAGCTGCCGGAGCCCCTCTTCCCCTTCTCGCACTTCCGCCAGTTCATCGCTGCCATCAGTGAGCTCCGGAGCGGGGAGGCGGGGCGGACCGGGCAGGGTGCGGGCCGGACTCCCCACCCCGCGCCGGGACTCAGTCCCTGCGTCCCCCTCGCCGAGCCGACCCACCCCTCCCTTCCCCAGAGCTGCAGGACCAAGCCCAGCGCAGCCGCTGTGTGCGGGACTTGGTGCGCTCGCTGCCCGCCCCCAACCACGACACGTTGCGGCTGCTCTTCCAGCACCTGTGCCGGTGAGCGGGCGAGCGGTGCGGGGATGGGAAGGGGGGTGCCGGTGAACCCCTTCTGCCCCCTCCAGCTCCGGGCCCTAATTCCCGCCTCCCTTCCCCTCCCCTCCCTGCTGCAGGGTGATCGAGCACGGCGATCAGAACCGCATGTCGGTGCAGAGCGTGGCCATAGTGTTCGGGCCCACGCTGCTGCGGCCGGAGACAGAGGAAACCAGCATGCCCATGACCATGGTGTTCCAGAACCAGGTGGTGGAGCTCATCCTGCAGCGATGCTCAGACATCTTCCAGCCGCACTGACCGCGGGCCCCTATCCCCACCCCCGCAGCTGGTGCTGCGGACCCGGGACTGGGCACCTCGACACTGGTTCTGCCTTGGAAGCTGGACTGTTGGAGGCAGCTGGGCTGGACTCCTCTGTGAGACCCTCCGCCTCCCACCGGTGCACAGGCTGGAGTGAAATCTGCATCCCTTGGTGCAGTATGGTGACCCCTGGTGGGCAGTTTGCAAAATGTGATCCCCCCCCCCCCCCCCCCCGTCCTGTTTGGGGCTTACTTGGGTTCTGTTGTTTATTACAGTGACACCTACTGTGTGTGTGAGAGAGAATGTGCTGGGATGAGACTGGCGCTGGGAGAAGGAGTTTGGGTGAGGGGCTTCTGGGCCTCATCAGGCCTGCACGTGGGGGCCCCCTGGGGCAGGGGGTGTCAGTCCCAGAGCAGCCACCTCCAGCGCCCCTGCTGCCCGGCTTGCCTCCGGCCTAACTCGTGCCTGACACTGTCCACAACCAACGTGGGCCATTTCCATCTGCTCTTCTGTTTCGGGCCATGGCCTTCCCAGACCCACGGGTGTTGTGTGCACAGGTTCTTCACACTCAGTGTGTACCCTGCCCCGGCCGCCTGACCCACACCATCTCCACACACAGTCCCATTGGACAAACAAAGAGAGGGAGGCGGTGGTGGCAGCAAAGTGACCTGCTCAGTGTCCCCTGGGCGGTCTGACTGCCCAGCTAGGGCTCCTCTCACACCACCGTCTCCTGGGAGGGCGCTGTCAGACCTTTCAGCACCCCCTCCCCTCCACACCCCCTGCACACCCCTCTGCCAGTTCTGCTTGGGCCTGGGGACATCCTGAAGGCAAACAGGACACCTGTTGTGGCTGTTCTTAGCCCAGAGGGGAAATAGTGTTGGTGGGAGCTGCCTAGCCCTTCTCAGCTCCCTGGCTGTCGGGCTGCCTGCCAGGGGCCCACCTTGTCCTAAGGAGCTGGGAGAGGCCTGCAGGGCTGGGAGAAGGTGGGTACAACCTCTGGAAAGGAAGCGTGAACCCTCAGGCCAGCGATGCCCCTTCCCTCCTCACACACAAAGCACCTCAGCTTCTGGGTCTTGGCCCCCTGCCCCACCTACCGCTCGTCTGTTTAACAGTAATAGCTACTATTTATTGACATTTCACCCTGCCAAGCATTTCACTTGAATCATCTCGTTCGTCTCTCACAGCCAGTATTTATTCTTTGCTCTTCTGTGCCAGGTGCGGTGCTCGGAGGCAGGGGTACTGCGCGGGCTGCCTCTTGGGTGGGGCGTGTGCTCGGTGGCTGACCCACGTCCCCCCAAATGCCAACAGGGCCGGGACAAGAATACAGATGGTCGCCTCACACCATCCATGGACATACTGTAAACCTACAAATCAAGCTCTAACTGTTAAATAAAATGTGTCCTATTCTCCTACTTCGACAAATACACGTTCATAATGACCTCAAAGACGAGGTTCCAACCGAAACTTCTTTGGCGATTCTGGATTCTGTGCCCAGGGACCTTGGCGTGAGAAGAGCCAGCTGTGTTGTCAGCCCGCCCCCTGTACCTGCCCTCAGAGCCATCCTGCCCCAAGGGGAGGTCCACATGCACACACGTGGACAATCCCGTCTGCTGGCACACACCGCCATGCCCCCTGCCGCCCCATGGCCACCCCACATGGCCCACCCTTCAGGGAATGGGTCACTTGGGCGGGGACTTCTGGGGTCTTGGCTATCAGGAGCATGGTCCAGAGGGAAGGACCTGGGCTCCAAGGTGCCCCACAGGTTCCTCATCCCGTGGGGGGAGGGCACAGACAGAGAAGGTGAGGCACCAGCAGCAGGGCGAGGGTTCCTCACTCCCAGGTCTAAGGACAGAACGAGACAGATGTTAAACAACTGATTACTTGGTTACATTCCTTTATACAAAAGTCAGAGAAAGCCCAGGGTGCTCTGAAGGCGTGTCATTCGGGTGTTGCTGTCCCTCAGGAACCTGAGATGCTTCTGCAGAAGCCCCATCTGGGCCCAGTAGTAAAGAATGAAGAGGAGTCGACAAGGTGAGGAGTTAAGGGAAAGGTGTCTAGTCAGAGGGAACAGCATGTGCAAAGGCTCTGTGGTAGGGTACGAAGTGAAGCTGGAGAGGTGGACAGGGGACAGCGTGTGCAGGGCCTTGTGGGCCACACTGAACAGGGACAGGACAGCAGGCAGGAGGGTGCTTGGATAGGGAGGTCTTGGGAAGTGTCTGCTCCCAGTCTGATCCTCACCCCACCCCCAGGCTTCTGATGCTGCCCAGGCCTTGGTGAGCCAACAATGTGGCAGCAGGCAAATCAGAATCACCATGTTCTGTCACCAGGAAGAGCTGCAGAAATCACCCACTGCCCATGAGGAAACTCCCAGAGAGACAATGTCATAACTCAGTGGAGGTCACACGGCAGACGGGTGGCAGAGCCCACCCGCAGCTTCGTCTGCAGCCTGAGCTCCATCCGACGCGTGGGCTCAGCCGCGAATCCGCAACCCCGAGCCCGGTGCTCAGGGAGCACTGTAGGTGCTCACTGAATATGTCGGGAACAAACTGGATTTTGTGTGGAGACACAAAGATACATAAAAATAGTATCTGCCCTCTTGAAGCACCAGCTGGTTGGGAGACAGACCAAAAAGTAAGTACCACAGGGGATGGGGCGGTCACAGAGGGCCCTCTCCCAAGCCTGCCCGCTCTCAATAGATGCTCCGACCCTCCTACAGCCTGCCATCTGCCCCTGAAGCTGTCCCAGAAAAGGTCACCAGTGCCCACCTGGTTGTCCGGTCTGGCAGGCATGCCCGATCCTCATGCAAGGGGACACGTGAACGGCCTGTTGTCCCCCCACAAAGCACGCTGTTCCTTTGCCTTCAGCACCATGGGTCTTTGCAAAGCCTGTAAACAGTGATGCCCGCTGGGTTGTGGTCTCAGCCCATGGCCCTCTCCCCTCCATCCTCCCTAAAAGCCTTCCATCCAGGGGACTTAGTCACCAGGCCTGCGCAGGGGTCACCCAAATCTCTCGCCAGCCACGGCCACTCTCTCCTGAGTTCCAAGTGCAAATGACCACCTGCTTACAGGACACCTCCGCATGAATGGCAGCCGGACACCCTGCGTGCGACCTGCCCACAACAAAACTCGGAGACCAGCCCTTCTCCCTGTAGTGAGACACGGCCCCTCCATTGACCAGAATCCCCTCCCCCCACTGCCCAAGCCAGTCAGTGCCGCCCCCCCAACCCATCCTTATCTTCTACCTCCTAACTCGTCCCCGGGTCTGCCTCCCGTCCCCCTCAGTCTCTCAGCTCAGGGGCCCAGTGGCCTCTGACTGGACTCTTCTCCCGGTTTCATCCCCCACCCAGCAGCCGTCTTGACTGTGTCACTTCAGCATGTGGCCTCCAAGGCCATTCGCAGCCCGTCTCCCACCTCTTTACACATGAGCTGTGCCCAACCTTAGCTCCCAGCCAGGCTGTCCCAGCCTCATTGCCCAGCGCACCCTGCTCGCCTCCCCTTCACCTGCCTGACTCCTCCTCTTCCCCTTCCTCCTCCCCCTCCTCCCCCTCCCCCTCCTCCTCCCACCACCACGCGCCTCCCCCAGCTCTCAGCCGGCCTCCCAGCACTGTACGTGTGCTTCCGTTCTGCCTGTCCCCGCCGGGCTGTGGGCCAGCCTGTCCTCACCGCTCTCTGCTCTCTTCGTGGCCAAGTAAGCCCCATTGTATGGAGACACCGCATTTCTCTCCTCATTCATTCACTGATGAACATTTGGGTTGTTTCTACTCCACCACCCCCCACCCCGCCCCGCTCTTATGAATAAGGCTGCTGGGACTTTCACGTGCAAGGTTTTATGTGGACACACTGTCTCAGCTCGGGCTGCCGTCACCAAATGCCACGGACTGGGTGGCCGAAACAACAGAAAGGCTTTCTCGCGGTCCTGGGGCTGGAAGGGTCAGAGCAGGCCGCCAGCGTGGTGGGCTTCTGGTGAAGAATGTCTTCCTGGCTTGCAGACGGCTGCTTTCCTGCTGTGTGCTCGCCTGGCAGAGAGAGAGAGAGAGCTCATCTCTGTCTCTCCTTCTTCTTTTCTTTTATTTTTTTAAGATTTATTTATTTTAGGGGCACCTGGGTGGCTCAGTCGTTGGGCGTCTGCCTTTGGCTCAGGTCATGATCCCAGAGTCCTGGGATTGAGCCCCACATCGGGCTCCCTGCTCAGCGGGAAGCCTGCTTCTCCCTCTCCCGCTTATGCTGCTTGTGTTCCCTCTCTCGCTGTGTCTCTCTCTGTCAAATAAATAAATAAAATCTTAAAAAAAAAAAAAGATTTATTTATTTTAGAGAGAATGGGAGAGAGAACATGCACGAGTATCGGGGAGAGGCAGAGGGAGAAGCAGACCCCCCACTGAGCAGGGAGCTCCTCCAGGGCCTCGATCCCACGACCCTGCGATCATGTCATGCCCTGAGCCAAAACCCACTGTGCCACCTAGGCACACCTCGTCCTCTTCATACAAGGACTCGAATCCCATCATGAGGGCCCCATCCTCATGGGTCCTACCTCCCAGGACCCCCATATTGGGCATTAGGGCTTCAACATATGAACCTGGGGGGCCAAGAACATTCAGTCCATCCATATATGTTTTGTTCCCCTTGGGCACATCCCTGGGAGTGGGACGGCTCGGCCGGACGGTCACTCTGTCGAACTTCGCGGGGAACTGTCAAACGAGAGTTTTCCGCGGTGGCCGCACCATTCTACATTCTCACTGGCAACGTGGGAGGGTTTCCGTTCTCTCCCACCTTCTGCAATAACTGTTTCAGGGATTCATTCTCCTCAAGCCTCTGGCCCTCCCTGTCTCCTCCTCTCCCTCCCCTTCCTCCTTTCCCTCTCCTGCCCCTCTCCACGCTCTCTCCAGAGGCCCTCACCTCTACCTCACAGAAATAAGGGAAACACTTCACATGCCCCTAGCAAAGCTCCCAGCTCCCTCACCACATCCACCCCCCCCCGCCTCCCTGCCCCTGGTACCTCAGAGCGGACATCTCTCCAGGACGCAGCTCACCCCCTCCCTTTTCTGGAAAGTTTCCACCACCATGGCCACCCTGCTCTCCTCTTCACGGAATGACTGTCTCCGGTGGAACACCCCAGCAAGTGGAGGGGAGCACCTAGGAAGTTCACTGGGGAGCGCTCTCAGGGCCACACCTGGGGTGGGGGGAGGGGATGCAGGCCCATCCCAGGCTCCGCTGCCACACCCCATGGAAGCCACCAGAAGCCCTGGAACTGGAAGAGCTCAGCGTTGTCCCACGTTGTGGCTAAGGGGGGGCCGACCTTTAAGCTGACTTATCATCCAG